ACACCAAGTCACACCACTCAACTTTTGCTCTTCTTCCTCTAATAGCCTCCCAAGCTGATTTGGAAGAGAAATCCCCCGAAGGTGAGGGTATCCAACAAATCTTGTCCCAAGAGTTCGCACTTGGCCACTTCCAATTACATCCGTCAATCACAGAATTCACCTTAGCATCCTTAGCAATCCCTGCATCATGAATAATCCTTTCCTCATAGATGCAAAGAAGGGGGCCGTTCGGGTGCCAGTTATAAAACCAAAGAGAGGTGGTGTTACGATTGCCAATGTTACATTTGATATTCTTTCTAGCCATTACCCTCTTTTTTAGATGTCTCCATGACCATGTACAATTTTGGGGAATGCTTATGTTCCAAATGCTTCTATTTCTCAAAAGATGAATTCGGACCCAAGAGACCCACAAAGTATGGTTTCTATGATTGCATAGATTCCAAATATGTCTTAAAGAAGCAGCGAGGTTTTTTTTTTTTTTTTTTTAATAAGTAAGTAATCATATTAAAAAAAAAACATAAGAATGTACAAAGGCCTAATAAATGACGACCAACCTATTTTGGGACATGCCTCGAAAATAGGAAACAAAAGAAACAAGCTTACAAACAGCAATCCGCTCCAGGGGTTTATCAAAAACCACAAAGGGAGATAAACACCAAGAAGAAAGTAAAGAGAACACCAAAAATCCCACCTATCATAGGACACCTCCCTAGGTTAGGATCATTAAAAGAAAAACACGAAATCAAACTCTTTACCAAAGAGGCAAAACAACCAAGCAAAAACCCTTCTGCGTAACCCTCTGTAATCCAATCTTCAAACGGTGTTGAGAACATGAGGAACGTCCTTGAAAATAGATCTAGGGAGGCCCCAATCATTCGCCAACTTCCTATTGCTGTAGGATGCTGTGAAGCAGCGAGGTTTCATTCCTTAAATTTCATAAAACCAAGTCTGCCCTAATTTTTGGGTACACATACCTCCTCCTAAGCTATTTTAGCTTTGTGTCTATTCATATCAACTGCAGACCAAAGAAAAGCTCTCAACCTAGCATCAATTTCCTTCTGAATTTTGGAAGCAAGAATAAAGAGAGACGATCAATAAATTTGGATACTCCAAAGGATGGACTAAAGCAAAATGATCCTCCCCAAATAGGATAAAAACCTACTTCTCCAAGAGGTAATCCGAGCCAAGATTTTACCCAGGAGAGGTCAACAATCCCCAAAGGTTAACTTAGAGGTAATAAGGGGTACACCTAAGTATTTGATGGGAAGAGTAGCCTCGGCACCTTCTCATTGTCACCACACCAGAAAGGAAGATATTGCTATTATTGGGATTTGCACTCAATCCTGACCAACTTTCAAAGGTAATTAAAGCATTCCTAAGGAGAGATAGAGAAGTACCTCCGGCTTTACAAAAAAGCATTAGATCGTCCGCGAAACAAAGATGAGTCAGCCCCACTTTCCTGCATCTCTAATGAAAACTAAAGTTCGGATTAGCTATCACTCTATTCAAGAGCCTCGAGAGAACCTCCACAGCACCGTTTTTGCTTGGCTGTTTTGTCTCATTGGTAAAGAATTTGATTTCGCATTTTTCTTTTAATGATCCTAACCTAGGGAGGTGTCCTATGGTAGGTGGGATTTTTGGTGTTCTCTTTACTTTCTTCTTGGTGTTTATCTCCCTTTTTGNGAGAAGAATGTACAAAGGCCTGATAAAGGGCGACCAGCCTATTTTGGGACATGCCCCAAAATAGGAATCAAAGGAAGCAAGCCTGCAAAAACCATTCTGCGTAATGCTCCGTAATCCAGTCTTCAAATGTTGTCGGGAACTTGAGGAACATCTTTGAAAATTGATCTAAGGAAGCCCCAATCATTCGCTAACTTTCTATTGCTATAGGATACTTTGACATTCCTAAGATCCATAGCTTTGTCTCTCACAACGCTCTTGATAACATCAATTAAATAGATCTGGGGAGGCCCCAATATGATTACTTACTTATCAAAAAGAAAACCTTTCCTTTGTAGGTAATCTCTCCTTAGTAGCCATCCATAAGATTGTAGAGTATCTTGGGATAGCCTTTGAGAGCCACACCAAGTCACACCACTCAACTTTTGCTCTTCTTCCTCTAATAGCCTCCCAAGCTGATTTGGAAGAGAAATCCCCCGAAGGTGAGGGTATCCAACAAATCTTGTCCCAAGAGTTCGCACTTGGCCACTTCCAATTACATCCGTCAATCACAGAATTCACCTTAGCATCCTTAGCAATCCCTGCATCATGAATAATCCTTTCCTCATAGATGCAAAGAAGGGGGCCGTTCGGGTGCCAGTTATAAAACCAAAGAGAGGTGGTGTTACGATTGCCAATGTTACATTTGATATTCTTTCTAGCCATTACCCTCTTTTTTAGATGTCTCCATGACCATGTACAATTTTGGGGAATGCTTATGTTCCAAATGCTTCTATTTCTCAAAAGATGAATTCGGACCCAAGAGACCCACAAAGTATGGTTTCTATGATTGCATAGATTCCAAATATGTCTTAAAGAAGCAGCGAGGTTTTTTTTTTTTTTTTTTTAATAAGTAAGTAATCATATTAAAAAAAAAACATAAGAATGTACAAAGGCCTAATAAATGACGACCAACCTATTTTGGGACATGCCTCGAAAATAGGAAACAAAAGAAACAAGCTTACAAACAGCAATCCGCTCCAGGGGTTTATCAAAAACCACAAAGGGAGATAAACACCAAGAAGAAAGTAAAGAGAACACCAAAAATCCCACCTATCATAGGACACCTCCCTAGGTTAGGATCATTAAAAGAAAAACACGAAATCAAACTCTTTACCAAAGAGGCAAAACAACCAAGCAAAAACCCTTCTGCGTAACCCTCTGTAATCCAATCTTCAAACGGTGTTGAGAACATGAGGAACGTCCTTGAAAATAGATCTAGGGAGGCCCCAATCATTCGCCAACTTCCTATTGCTGTAGGATGCTGTGAAGCAGCGAGGTTTCATTCCTTAAATTTCATAAAACCAAGTCTGCCCTAATTTTTGGGTACACATACCTCCTCCTAAGCTATTTTAGCTTTGTGTCTATTCATATCAACTGCAGACCAAAGAAAAGCTCTCAACCTAGCATCAATTTCCTTCTGAATTTTGGAAGCAAGAATAAAGAGAGACGATCAATAAATTTGGATACTCCAAAGGATGGACTAAAGCAAAATGATCCTCCCCAAATAGGATAAAAACCTACTTCTCCAAGAGGTAATCCGAGCCAAGATTTTACCCAGGAGAGGTCAACAATCCCCAAAGGTTAACTTAGAGGTAATAAGGGGTACACCTAAGTATTTGATGGGAAGAGTAGCCTCGGCACCTTCTCATTGTCACCACACCAGAAAGGAAGATATTGCTATTATTGGGATTTGCACTCAATCCTGACCAACTTTCAAAGGTAATTAAAGCATTCCTAAGGAGAGATAGAGAAGTACCTCCGGCTTTACAAAAAAGCATTAGATCGTCCGCGAAACAAAGATGAGTCAGCCCCACTTTCCTGCATCTCTAATGAAAACTAAAGTTCGGATTAGCTATCACTCTATTCAAGAGCCTCGAGAGAACCTCCACAGCACCGTTTTTGCTTGGCTGTTTTGTCTCATTGGTAAAGAATTTGATTTCGCATTTTTCTTTTAATGATCCTAACCTAGGGAGGTGTCCTATGGTAGGTGGGATTTTTGGTGTTCTCTTTACTTTCTTCTTGGTGTTTATCTCCCTTTTTGGTTTTAGATAAACCCCTAGAGCGGATGGCTATTTGTAGGCTTGTTTCATTTGTTTCCTATTTTCTGGGCATGTCCCAAAATAGGCTGGTCGCCTTTTATTAGGCCTTTGTACATTGTTTCTGTTTTCTTTAATATGATTACTTACTTATCAAAAAAAAAAAAAAAGGAATATATTGCTCTTATCCGGATTAGCACTCAATCCTGACCAACTTTCAAAGGTAATTAAAGCATTCTTAAGGAGAGATAGAGAAATACCTTCGGCTTTGCGAAAAAGCATGAGATCTTCCCCGAAACAAAGATGAGTCAGGCCCATTTTCTTGCATCTCTAATGAAAACTAAAGTTCAGATTAGCTGCCACTCTATTCAAGGGCCTAGAGAGAACCTCCATAGCAATAACAAACAGGTAATGGGATAACAGATCCCCTTGTCTCAGCCCTCTAGAGCTCCCAAAGAACCCCACCAGCTCCCCATTGATTACCACCGAGAACCTAGGAGTAGTGATGCATTGGGATATCCAATTGACAAGTACACTCGGGAATCCAAAATTCTTAAGGTCTTGGAGGGAGCGAAATTCGCGAATTTTTAGGGGTGACTATAAGGATTCCTTCACCATAATTGATGTTATCAAAAGTGTTGTGAGAGACAAAGCCATGGAACTTAGGAATATCAAAGTATCTTATAGCAATGGGAAGTTGGCGAATGATTGGGGCCTCCCCAGATCTATTTTCAAAGATGTTCCTCAAGTTCCCGGCACCATTTGAAGATTGGATTACGGAGGGTTACACATAATGGTTTTTTCTTGGTTGTGTTTCTATCATTTGTAACGAGTTTGATATCGTGGTTTTCTTTTAAAGATCCTAACCTAGGGAGGTGTCCTATGGTAGGTGGAATTGTTGTTATTCTCCTTGCTTTCTTCGTGGTTTTTTGGTTTAAGATTTGCCCCAAGAGTGAATGGTCATTTGTAGGCTTGTCTCCTCTGATTCTTATTTTGGGGCATGTCCCAAAATAGTCTGGTCGCCCTTTATCAGGCCTTTGTACATTCTTCTCTTTTTTTTAATATTATTACTTACTTAACAAAAAAAAAAAAATAAATAACCATGCCGTTATCACACTTAAGCTGGGTGATTCTATTTCTATTCTTTCTGCCATTGACACACTTGAAGAAATAGCTTGTGTTCTGGTCACCCTCTCTAAGCCATTGCACTCTAGATTTTTGCCTAGCTAAAGACTCCTCAGCTCAACTAAAAGAATTAAAATAAAAAGCTTTGGCTTTTTCCTCAAGAATAAGGTTCTCTTCAAGAGGATTAGAAGCAAGAGCATGCTGGACCCTTAGAAGGTTTTCTCTAGCTTCAATAACTCTTGCCGAGATATTCCCAAACTCCCTCTTGTTAAACACTTTTAATGCTGCTTTGACTCTCTTCAGTTTAGTAACCAATTGATACATAGGGGTACCCCTAACTTCTTCTTCCCAAGCCTTCCTAACAATGCTAACGAAACTTTCATGGTGAGCCCAAAAGTTGAAGAACCGAAATGGGATTTTCCTAAATGAAGACATAACCCCACATTCAACAATACAAGGAGAATGATCCGAGATGCTTGGGGGAAGGAAATTGGCTATGGAGTTACCAAACACACTGCCCCACTTTTCATTCACAAGAGCTCGATCAATCTTAGTGGTAATCCTATGTTCCCCTTCTCTCATATTACTCCACGTGAAAAAGTTACCCATAAACCGAAGGTCCTCAAGCCTAGTCTCATTACACATATTATTCAAGTCCGAAACGTAATTTCTCCACCTATAAGAACCCCCTATTTTCTCATGCCCAAATCTCATCGCATTAAAATCACCCATAATCACCCATGGTATTTCCTCAAAATCTTGAGCTTTACCCGATAAGACTCTCCATAATTCTTTCCTTTTCTGTGGACCATTAGAGCCATAGACAAATGAGCTAACAAAGGAGTAATTAGACTCCAAAATAACAACCTTACCATGGATGGCTTGATTCGTTGATTGAATGATTTCAAACCTCACCAAACTAGGATTCCAAGCAACCCAAATTCTACCATTAGGGCAGCACACATAGTTATGGATTACATCCCATCCCCCAAAAGTCAAGGACTTAGTAACCTCAAAATTTGGTTCACGAACTCTAGTTTCCAAAATACCACAAATTGCAATTTTATTGGAAGAGATTAGATGTCTAACCTCTTTTTGTTTCAAAGGGGAATTAAGACCCCTTACATTCCACGAAGCAAGCTTAATCATGGGACGGCTGGGCGTTAGGAACTTCTCTCGCCTTCCTGGATAATCTCCTCCTTTGGCTTTTAGAAAGACTTATGTTCCCCTCCGTAAGACCTTCCTTTTCATCAACTCGAATCAAATTTCCAAACCTCACAATAGCCGGTGAAGTAGACCCCATTTCACATCCCTCATGGTTTTCCACCAAGGGACCCGTTGTTGTCACCAGCATTCAAAGCATTCAACCTTTTGCTTACTGCCATTCTCCTCTCTTCTATGTTAGGAACAATCACCGCATATTCATTCCCCTTAACACACTTATCCCTATCATCACACGCACCTCGATTATAAACCCTGTTAAGAACAGCCCCGCTAGGGACATTTATCCCACTCATTTCATCCTTATCCTTCCCAAACCTATCTTCAACATTTTCACTACCCTCTTCGCCATCAAGTTCCCCATTATCCAGCCTGTTTCCCGAACTAAGAACAACAAATGGATTAGCGGAGAGTTTTGTTTGCTAACCCCGTCTCTCGACTCACCAATGGGCTGCTCTTTTTTGCGGCTAGAGCTCTCGCCCACATTCTCCGCTTGCGTTACCACGTCCTTTGACACATTCTCCTTCCTCTTGGTCACCACTCACCATTCTTGAGTAAGATTCAAGTTCTTCTTCTCGGCGCTTTCCTTATCAATTCTAGGGGCCAAGCGACATTCCTTCAAATTGTGGTTCACTCATTGAGTGAGACAACTTGAATCCCTCCACTTGCTATCCATTGGTTATCTTCTCTTCCGTTGGCTCATTTGGATTTTTGAGATTTTTTCTTATCCACATTCCCTTTGGACTGGTTAATAGTCTGTTTCATAAGTTTTTGGCCACCTCAGGTCCTCACTTGTTTTTCATTGGTTCCCCTTTGATTTCCTTATCTCTTGTCTCTTTGACTACAAATTATGACAACTCACCAACCAATCATCCATCTCTCCCCTCCACCTCATCAATCTCAAGCTGACTCATCTTGCCACGTCCCCCAGCCTGCCACGTCACCGGCCCTCCCACATCACCAAAAAAAAAAATTCCCCTCCACTTCCCAAACCTTCCCAAAGCCATACTTTGCCTCCCAATGGTCTGTTTCTTGTGAATTCTTTGAATACAAGTGAGGCAAAGAGTTCTGGTGGGGTGCTTAAAAGGCAGCAAGCTGGGGGTGGAAGAGTGATTTATAAGGTTGGCATGAAAATTTGTGATGGGAATGTGCTGGTTGATTCAAAGGTGTCTCCAATTATTATGCATGGCGAGAAAGCGGTGAGTGGAAGCGGGACTTTTGGGGAAAAGGTGAATGGGGAATTAAAGCCAGTCGGTATTGCATCCTGGAGAAAACTTTCTGTTTCGAAATCTAGTGCTCCAGTGGAATATTTTGCACCGGAAGTCCTTGATGATGCGAGGAGGATAAGGGTTATACCGCCTAAAGAGGTTGCTGATTTGGGGAAGGATAAATGGGGAAATTGTCTCGTTGGTTTCTTCCTTGGCAGAAGGTTGCCATTCTCTCTTGTGAAGGGTTTTATCGATAGGAATTGGAAGTGCTTCGGCAAGGTTGGTGTTGTCTCAAATGGGGTTGGGGGCTTTATTCTGAAATTTGATAATGAGAGCTCTAGGGATGAGGCCTTGGAAGGGGGCACTTGGAATATTGGGGGGCAGCCCCTTTTCCTCAAAAAATGGCGTCCGAATTTAAAGATGGCAGGTGAGGCATTTGTAGTGTCCCGATTTGGGTCAAATTTAGTGGAGTTCCATTGGAGTTTTGGACTGCTAAAGGGTTAAGCTATGTTGCGAGTGCTATTGGAAAATCTCTCTACATGGATAACATCACGCATGCAGGTGATAGATTGGAGTATGCAAGAGTTTGTGTTGAAATTGTCACAGCTTCTTCATTCCCAAATTCAATGGAACTAGGCCTCCCGAGTGGTGATTATGTGAACATAGGGGTGGAGTATTCTTGGAAACCGAGGGCCTGCCCTTTGTGCACACCTTCTAATATTGACGACAAGATTTGTTGGATACCCTCACCTTTGGGAAACTTCTCTACCAAATCAGCTTGGGAGGCTATTAGAGGAAGAAGAGCAAAAGTTGAGCGGTGTGACTTGGTGTGGTTCCCACAGGCTATCCCAAGGTACTCTATGATCATATGGATTGCCATAAATGGGAGATTACCTACAAGGGAAAGGTTGATGAGGTAGGGCGCTACTACTAACACTTATTGTTGCCCTTGTAACTCATCAATGGAATTCCTTGCCCACTTATTTTATGCATGCCCTTTTCCTAAGTCTATTTGGAGCAAGATCCTTATGCTTGCTGACCTTGGCCAAGTGGTTAGGCCCTGGCATGATTACATCCCCCATTTGGCAAGGAAATGGAAAGGTAATAGTCTAAAATTCACTTTGGGTCGGCTTTATTTAGGGGCTACTGTTTATTGGATTGGGAGGGAGCGGAATTCACGAATTTTTAGGGGTGACTATAAGGATTCCTTCACCATAATTGACGATATCAAAAGTGTTGTGAGAGACAAAGCTATGGACCTTAGGAATGTCAAAGCATACTACAGCAATAGGAAGTTGGCGAATGATTGGGACCTCCCTAGATCTCTTTTCAAAGACATTCCTCAAATTCCCGACACCGTTTGAAGACTGGATTACGAAGGGTTACGCAGAATGGCTTTTGCCTGGTTGTATTTGTATCATTTGTAAAGAGTTTGATCTCATGTTTTTCTTTTTAATGATCCCAACCTAGGGAGGTGTCCCATGGTAGGTGGAATTTTTGGTGTTCTCTTTGCTTTGTTCTTGGTGTTTGTCTCCCTATGTGATTTCAGATAAACCCCAAGAGTGGATGGCCGTTTGTAGGCTTGTTTCTTTTGATTCCTATTTTTGGGGCATGTCCAAAATAGGATGGTCGCCTTTTATTAGGCCTTTGTACATTCCTCTCTTTTTAATATCATCACTTACTTGACAAAAAAAAAAAAAAAAAAATTCTTGCTGTCTTCAGTTGAAATATCAAATCTTACCAATCTTCCATTTTTTTTTTTTTTCATTATATTTACATTCGTAATGATATGACTCAGTAAACAATACCTTCTTTATTTTACTCATTTAGTAACCTCTTTAGGAGAGAAAAAACATGTCACAATCAAGTCCTTTTTTTTTCTTTTTTATAGAAACACCAATATACTGAAAAAGTTAACGAAGATACTGAGGTGGACTAGATGTCCACTGCAAGGGAGTTAGATCTTCACAATAACTCAAAATCTTGTGTAAAGAGTGAAATATAAACATCAAAAAGAAAGAGAATTCTTGGGCTCTTATTAACATGAGGAATTCTGTTTTCTTTAATATGATTACTTACTTATCAAAAAAAAAAATAAATATTTAGGATCTAAAACAGTTGTTGCCCAAACCTAAACAGTTCCTATTTTACTATTCTTCCAATTTGGTTTATTCACATAAACCATTGAAACAAAAAAACAAACATTTGATTATATTAAACCACCATTACCAACAATAAGAATAACACCAATAACGACTATTTGGAAACTCAATTTCCATTCGATGATATAGTAAACTTCACCAAAAGGGTGAAAACACAAACCTTATAGTTCTGGCCAGCNAAAAAAAAAAAAAAAAAAGAGAATTCAACAGCCATCAACAAGTCGTTGTAGTATAGTGGTGAGTATTCCCGCCTGTCACGCGGGTGACCTGGGTTCGATCCACGGCAATGGCGAAAATTCATCTGTTTTCTTTAATATGATTACTTACTTATCAAAAAAAAAAAAGAATTCAACAGCCCACAAAGCCACAAAATTTTGGAGGTACTTCAAATTCTTTACTTATACTCCTCCAAGAATAAAGTTTCCCAATTTCTTTCAGTTTCTGTAGCTTCTTTCAGATTGTTGAAATTTAAGGCTTGCATCAACGCTCAAGAGTGACTTTACTAACACCAGTACACAAGCCTCAACTAACAACACCTAGGATTTATTAACCAAAAAAAAAAAAAAAAAAAACACCTAGGATCTCTTTATCGGTAAGATATATTCTTCTTTAGTCAAAGACAAAGCAATGCTCAAGTTTGTAGATACAGTCACAGATACATTGTGCATACATACACATTTAGGTCGTATATGGTCAGCTGTTCAAAACGTGCAATATGAGGGCCATGGCTACAAACTAATGTCAATTATCTTGCAATTTCACAAGCAAACAAAGATAATATTTTTGAGTGCCTAACAGGTATCATATGCCACAATTAAAGTTCCTGGAAGACAAATCCACTAACAAGCAGAATTGTCAAGTGTCTAAAACTTTTAATGATCAAAACGTCAGGTAAGATCTAAGGTACCAAATATTCTCTTAGCTAAAGTTTCAATGGCGAGGCACGCAATGACTGCAATCGATCATTGATACCAAGTTCTCCGAACAGGTTCTGTATATTTGGGTAAGCCCCAACTTGCCAACAAGAAAAAAAAATATTTATCAATTAAAAGGAAATGCATAAGATTAGCCCTACTTTAAGAAAGGAAAATACAAAAAGGTGACTTCGTCAAAGTTTGTTATTGCAACATTCAAAAAATTGCATAAGATAAAAGATACCCACTAGATCATCACTATGAAGTGAAAGTGCATCTAATGGAGATCAAGGTGCTGACCAAGTTCATTTTCCCAAATATTCCCAAGATCCTTTGCAAGGAATTGGCGGTCCAATGACTAGGGCAATAGGAAGTTGGCGAATGATTGGGGCCTCCCTAGATCTATTTTCAAAGACGTTCCTCAAGTTCTCAACACTGTTTGAAGATTGGATTACAGAGGGTTAAGCAGAAGGGTTTTTGCTTGGTTGTTTTGTCTCATTGGTAAAGCGTTTGATTTTGTGTTTTTCTTTTAATGATCCTAACCTAGGGAGGTGTCCTATGGTAGGTGGGATTTTTGGTGTTCTCTTTACTTTCTTCTTGGTGTTTATCTCCCTTTGTGGTTTTTGATAAACCCCTAGAGCGGATGGCTGTTTGTAGGCTTGTTTCTTTTGTTTCCTATTTTCGGGGCATGTCACAAAATAGGCTGGTCGCCTTTTATTAGGCCTTTGTACATTGTTCTGTTTTCTTTAATATGATTACTTACTTAACAAAAAAAAAAGAAAGCTCATTCAAAGCCTGTTAGAAGTTTATCAACGAGGACTAATGTAGAGCATCTGGCAGATGAATTCATGGAGCAGGCTGTATGTCAGAACTCCGTGCAAAAAGCCTAAAGGGATTAAATGAGGATGCCCTTTCAGACGGCCTTAACTTTTCATTCCGCAAGTGTTACAGGGCTAGTAAGATACCGTTGGAAATCTCATTCAGAGCCCGTCGATGTGGACTAATGTGAAGTGTTTGACAGATGAATTCAGGGAGCGGGATGAACATTAGAATTCTATGCGTAAGGCCCAAAGGGCTTAAATGAGCATGCCCCATTCAAACAACCATAACTTTTCATCCGGGAGGGGTTATGGGGACTGTAAGATACCGAACGAAAGCTCATTCAAAGCCCGTTAGAAGTTTGTCAACATGCACTAATGAAGAACATCTTGCGGATGAATTCATGGAGTAGGAAAAAAGTCAGAACTCTGTGCATAAAGCCTAAAGGGCTTAAATGAGCATGCCCCATTTAGACGACCATAACTTTTCATCCGGGAGGAGTTACGGGGCTTAAAAGATACAGTTGGAAAGCTTATTCAGAGTCCGTCAAAACTTTGTTGAGATGGACTAATGTAAAACACCTAACGGATGAATTCATGGAGCGTGCTGAACGTTAGTGCCTCGTGCATAAAGCCCAAAGGCCTTTAATCAGCATGTCCCTTTCAGACGGCCATAACTTCTTATCTGGGAAGAGTTACGAGGCCTGTAATATACCGTTGGATATCTCATTTAGAGCTCGTCCATGCAAACTAACATAGAATGTTTGACATATGAATTCATGGAGGGGGCTGAACATCAGATCTCTGTGCATAAAGCCCAAAGGGCTTAAATGAGCATGGCCCATTCAGACGACCATAACTTTTCATCCGGGAAGAGTTACGGAGCCTGAAAGATACCGTTGGAAATCTCATTCAGTGATACGAACTCCACCAAAAATTGTGATGAAACCCGATAACAATGATGGATTAAACCCCGAGATCATGAAGACAAGATTTGTTGAGTCTTGGGCCGTCACCTAACAAGATGAAAATCTAGACTACGAAGGATTGAAACACCACACTAAGAAAACCTACGAATTCTCTAATGAATTCAAGGTGATAAGTTTGGTTGTTTGAACGCCACAAGATTAACTTGATAAGTTCAAGAGTTATTTTTAAGAACTAAAAGGAACACCAGGCCTCACAAGATGATAATTTTCTGAATAACCAAATCTGCCTTTAAAAATCTTAATACCCATCTAGATACTTGGAATAACCCTCCAAGTATAGGCAAAGTGATAATTACAGCTTTAAAAACAACATAAAAATTAACCTAAACAAGTCCCCACATTTTTTAGGACTCTTGGACTTCTAAAGACAGCCAAAAATAGCTAAATGACTAGATTCAATGTATTTTAACATGCCCAGCCAAGACCAAGTCATTCTCCTATTTAATATCCTTGAAACTCAACAAATTCACACCCTTTAATGGTCAAACCATGCTGGTTACGAATTCGCATGCTAATTAGCCTCTTCAATTGCTTTGATGACATGGACTAGGCCTTGATTATTATTTGAGCCCATCTTGGTCTTTTTAGAATTAGCCCAATTCTCTTGGATTAGCCCATTTAGTGCTTCCTTGAAACGTTTGGCTCTAAGTCTTGTAATTGGGCCACTAGGAAGTGACAAAGGGTCTTGTGCAAATTCAGCTCCATTCTCACTTGTATGATTAACATGTCCAGCTCCTNAAAAAAAAAAATAATGAAGTTGTTAAGTCAAACATCAAAGACATCAGCAAACAAGAATTAGTTTCCAAAATTACATAATTTATCCGAGTAAAAAATGCAGTAGAATTTACGAATGGTGGTTAATAGAAAATAATGTTGTAGCATCACGAACTTAAACGATAATAAAAAAAAAAAATTAATTAAGTAATATAAGGAAACTATGTCGAATCACAAAATATATGCAGGCCTGTCCCATACCACTCCCAATCATCACCTTTCCAGGCAGCTGCCTATAAGGAAAAAGACCAAAGTTTAATGTTTAGTGACAAAGAAATTGAAAAGACAAAACCCTGCATTACATATGGATATCAAGATGGAAACAAAAATTATCATGCAATTGTGTCCATCCTAGCTCCTAGAAACAGAAAAGTACTCATCCCACAATATCAACCAGAATGAAAAACTTCTTCCAGATTACCATCCATATGAAAATCGCCTATTGTTCAACTATGCTGAAAAATGACCTCTCTTCTAACCACTAACTTGGTTCAGCTATAGTGTCAAGTCGAGTTCGAGCTCGCTAGATTTTGGCTCAACAAGCTCGAGCTAGATTAGGCTTGAGATCGAACTGGAATTTTCAGTGTCGAGATCAAATTTTAAAGCTCGGCAAGCTGAAGTTCAAACTCGAGCTTGACACTGCAACAAACGAGCTGAGCTTGATTAGACCTAAGCTTGACTCGACTCGTTTACACCCCTAGCCCCGACACCAGTGGCAATTATCTTTTGTGATGAAGATGTTTTGAAGTTTCATGATAAGGGGGTGCTTGTAATTTTAGAATAGGTTGAACAAGGGCAAAAAAATCATTTCGCAATCTAACAGATTTTTATGAACGGATTTAGCATAATGAAGGCTCAGGTTGTAAGGAGTTCTGAAACAAAGCCCAAGGTTTAAAAGTTAGGGCCGTGGTTTGTTTTGGGCTAATATCGGGCCAGCCTCACAAAATATTCTTTGAATTACATAATAGAGCTGTGATTATCATTTGCTCATTACAGCTATATTTAAGGATAAGATACAAAGAATCGACTAATCCATAACAGCCGCTTTAATCACAGCACTAATCACACTTAATTATAAAAAATAATTAATTTTTTTATTTCCCTCTCTTTCTCTTAATACAAATAATTACCACATTTGTACTAAAACATTTGCATTGAATCGCTAATGAACTATTGCACAAACAGCGCCATCTCTCTAAACGGAACTGAGGATTAAGCATTAACTAAGAGCAGGACCTGCTGAAGAGTAGATATAATCATACGTGTTTTTCAGTTTCCTGTTGAACCTGCAGATGAGAATAACCTGTATCAGTTAACCACTGGGCTCATGATTTAGCTTTCACTGATAACTAATTGTAGAAATGAAGTTGCCAACAATTCCCAAAGATAGCTGATTATATACGATAAGAATCCAATTGACTATTAAAAGAAGGAACGAGTATTCATTTGTCAATCAGTTAATTAGCAGCAAATGACAATGAAATTGAAAATAAATAAATGAAGAAAAGAGTGATGAATTGATAATATAAAAAGCGCAATTCATATGAATTTCCCAATTTACATAAATAGTTGCATTTTCAGAACATTTTAAAGACTGAAATAAATTTTCACTTTCTACCAACTTACCTTCCCATTTAAGGGAATTCACAGACAAAGACAATTGAACAAAGAAATTGATTAAAATGAGCGATGATATGATTTTCCCGTAATACCTCAGTACTTGCATTGTTAGATAATCTTAAATATTACAATTTTTTTTTTGTTAAGTAAATATAATAAAAAAGAGAAGAATTTACAAAGGCCTGATAAAGGGAGACTAGTCTATTTTGGGACATGCCCCAAAATAGGAATCAAAAGAAACAAGCCTACAAACGACCATTCACTCTTTGAGGTTAATCTTAAACCACAAAAACCAAGAAGAAAGCAAAGAGAATAACAACAATTCCACCTACCATAGGACACCTCCCTAGGCTAGGATCATTTAAAAGAAAAACGCAATATCAAACTCGTTACAAATAATAAAAACACAACCAAGCAAAAACCATTCTGCGTAACGCTCCGAAATCTTAAATATTACAATGATTTTTACATGCACTGAAGTTGTTATTTCCATTTATGAAATTTCCAGGCCAAATCATTTGAACAAAGAAATTGATCAAAACTAGTGATGATATACAAAATAATGCAACTTTCCCTATGTTACACCAGTACTTTGGATTGGGGGACCATTTTAAGGATTACAAGAAAAACTCACATCTTATCAACTTATTCTTTTCCATTTATCGGAGTTCCCAGCCAAACCATTTAAACAAAGAAGTCAGTTTCAATAGACTTTCTAATTCAAATCATGCCATGAATGAGGGTTACTCATATTATTTTCAGACAAAACAAAGAGTTCATCACACAAACCATATGTGAACATTGATAACTGGAATTCCAACCAATTTCTCCAATCTTTTGAAGTATAGCTTCTCTTTCTTTCCAATTTTCAGGCAAAAGAAGCTTTAGGATGTCAACCGAATAAAACAAGGTCCATAATCAAAATTAGTGAAACTATATATATATATATATACAGAGAGAGAGAGAGAGAGTATACCTAGAGTGGCAAATACATAAACATCTCCTTCAATAACTTCCCCGCTAGTTAGTACGAAATTCTTCACAGTTCCATTACTATCAAGCTCAATTTCCTGTATTTGAGAATTTAGTCGGACTTCAGCACCGAGTGATTGAATATGATTAACAATCGACATGCAAGTCTCTCTAGGGGACTACCATCCAAGAATTCCATCTTGGAACCATGCTTCTACTGTTAAACATAATAAAAATATATTCTGTCAGCCACTAGGTGGTGAAGTATAAATAACTGGAAACGTATATCCAATAGTACATCAACAACAATGCTTATTCACAGTATACCTATATTCATATACACAAATACGACCAAAACACATAATACTCACAACAATATGTTAGTTGTTATCATGAGAAAACTAAATTAGGTCCTGATTTGACTTGATCAGATGGTAAAACAAAGTAAAGAAAAGTAAGTAACTTAATTTGATGAAAGACCCATAGATCATTCTACCTATGTCAATCTAAAATAGAATTAAAAGGAGAATGAAAACATTCCTTAAATAAAAAGGGGAATATTGATTTATATTCTAATTGACATCGGTCTTGTAACAGGTGGAGAATGCAAGGATGCACATACTCTCTACAACTCCATCAAGAATGTGGTGAGAGAGAGAGCTATGGACCTTAGCAAGATCATAAAGAATACCTACAATAGAGGACTTGCCGAGAAATAGGGTCTTCCCATGTCTATTTTTAAAACATCCCATGGGAGCTAATTTTATGGTTTGTTGTTATGTGATGAGTTTTCGGTGATGTAAGGGGATTTGGTTATATGACATCCCGGCGGTTGATTATGCTAGACGAGGCTACTTTGGCTATTGGAAGACTTGGGGTGTTGATCTAGTGTTTTGTCTTTATGTCATTAATGGGCCCTATCTTGTTAATGTCCATGTTTTTGGAATTCTTCTTATAAATGCTTATTCATATGGTTCTTTATTTTGATACTTTTGAACCTAACCCAAGGCATGTCCTGTGGTAGGTGGGATTCATTGTATTCTTTAATCTCCGCTTGGGTCCATTTCTTTTACAAGAGGAATGGGAAAAATAGAAGATTAGGGGTAGACTTAGATAGTATCATTCTTTTGCTCCTAACCCAGGGCTTGTCCTGAGGTAGTTTGGCTGACTTTTAGGCCTTTTGTACATTCTTTCCCCCTTTCTATAAAAGCGTACTTACCCAAAAAAAAAAAAAAAAAAAAAAAAAGATATCGGTCTTGCAAAATGGAAAGTAATTATTTTTTAGATGGATCTATAAAGAAGTTGAATACCGCAAATGAGATACATTGTTGTGTATGTGTTTATTTTCTCTAGCTTAAAATATTATTAAGAAAAAATAAAAATATACAGAGAGAACAAGCACTAGTTTATATATCACACATGGCGGATTGCCATAAAATAACAGTTCAATAAGGGTAATCAAAACATGTGGTTCTAAGCAGTTGTTCGGTATTATTTTAAGAGAGAAATTTGAAAAATAGAAACTGAACGTTGTATTTTCAAATTTCGAGAATGTGCAGTATCATTCTCAAAAGACAGCATTATGAAAATGAAATAATGCAAATGTGTTCAATATAGGTCTTTGGAAGGAAAAAAATATGTTTTCGATATATTATTACTAGAATAACTTATTAAATTAGACAATAGTTAAAAAAAATAAATAAATAAACATATTAATAAGAATTCAAAAGCTCGAAAATGCTTTATGGTTTTTCACAAAAGAATCATGAAAATGGTGAAAAAAAGATAAGTGTTTTGTCATTTCCTTCACAAAAGTTAGAAAATGATTTGCGTTTTATGAAACATTTTTCTAAAATATGTTAATCAACACATTGTATCCATGTTCTAGACTTTGAAAATAAGAAATCATTTCCGCAAAATTCCACCAAATACCCCAAAACCTTTCAAACACAAAGAGAGCAATAAAAAATGTTTGAGAGTGAATTTGGTCATGGTAAACAAAATAGAAGTGACATGTTACTTGATATGTTTAGTTTTACATCTATACACTAATCCAACATTAGATCGTCAGCCAAACTTTACCAAAGATCATTTAAATTATTTTGATATTGATGTTAATATAAAGTTTCTTGTGGACAATCAAGAGATTAAAAAAAATTTAAGGAAAAAAAGGAGGATTACTGTACCTGAAGAAACCGATTTATAGCAATCAATATACATTGCATTGACAATTCACCAGGGTTAATAAAATTTAGTGCCTTTGACATGGCAATAAACACCTTTGTCGTCACACGCTCAGGTACCCCCTAAAGTTTACGCCAAATTCATGAGCACAAAGCATTCTGAAAATTTAACTTTGAAGATAGAGAATACAGAACTCAACTTGAGTTAATATACATGTTCATTTGCTAAATTTGCAGTGTGCACTAACATTCAATAAATTTAACATGAACAATACAAAATAACCAACTCAATTCAGAAGCTGATTTATATATAAACATAGGTTGGACAAGTTAAAAAAGTAATAGTGAATTAATTCCCAAACATTAAAAAAAAAAAAAAAAAACAAAGGTAGTGACCCAAAAAGAATATTTGTGTTCAAACACATTCCTCACGGTTTTAATCTATAGTACGAGGAAAAACATCCAGCTCAAATTGATACTGATACCATGTTGTAGACTCAAAAAATCCCAAAAGTCTAGATTTCATAGGTAGGGCACCCAACAATATAAATAAAGTTTTAACAACTTTCAAAGGCAAACACAATAAATAAAGTTTTCTACAAGAAAATTATTCCATGAATTTAGACTATATTTTGGAGGCACTTTTTTTTTTCTTTTTTATAGAAACACCAATATACTGAAAAAGAGAACAAAGATACAGAGGTGGACTATATGTCCACTGCAAGAGAGTTAGATCTTCACAATAAATCAAAATCTTGTGTAAACAGTGCAATATAAACACCAAAAAGAGAGAGAACTCAACAGCCCACAAAACCACAAAATTTTGGAGGTACTTCAAATTCTTTACTTATACTCTTCCAAGAATAAAGTTTTCCCAATTTCTGTCAGTTTCTAGTATTCTGGAAGTTTCTGCAGCTTCTTTCAGACGGTTGACATTTGAGGCTTGCATCAACACTCAAGAGTGACTTTACTATCACTAGTACACAAGCCTCAACTAACAACACCTAGGATCTCTTTGTCGGTAAGATATATTCTTCTTTAGTCAAAGACAAAGCAATGCTCAAATTTGTAGATACAGTCACAGATACATTGTGCATACATACACATTTATGTCGTATTTGGCCAGTTGTTCAAAAAGTGAAGTATGAGGGCCATGGCTACAAACTAATGTCAATTACCTTGCAATTTCACAAGGAAACAAAAATAATATTTAAATTTGTAAACTCCAGAAAAATATACTGCAAAAATTGTGAAAATTTGAAGAAATTTAAATTTTGAAAAAAAAAAAATTATAAATGACATTAACAACCAAAAGTTAGCATTGAAGTTGAAAAACTACAAAGATAAGTGATGAACCTTTCAATTCAGCATTCTTCTTTCTCTTATTCATGAGATTTGGTAAGCTGTATTGCCCAGATTATTCTTCATTTCCTTGTTTAATAAGAAGGTTTGACTTATAAATCTTTGTTCATAGTTTTTTTTTTTTTTTTTTTTTTTTTTTTTTTTTTTTTTTTTTTTTGTGGGGGGGGGGGGGGGTAAGTAAGCTTTTATATAAGGGGGAAAGAATGTACAAAAGGCCTAAAAGTCGGCCAACCTACCTCAAGACAAGCCCTGGGTTAGGAGCAAAAGAATGATACTATCTAAATCTACCCCTAATCTACTCTTTTTTCCATTCTTCTTGTCAAAGAAATGGACTGGGTTAGGAGCAAAAGGATGATACTATCTAAGTCTACCCCTAATCTACTCTTTTTTCCATTCTTCTTGTCAAAGAAATGAACCCAAGCGGAGATTAAAGAATACAATGAATCTCACCTACCATAGGATATGTCCTAGGTTAGGTTCAAAAGTATCAAAATACAAAAACCATATACATAAGCATTTACAAGAAGAATTCCATAACTAAGGACATTTAACTTCTAGTGCGCCTTTACTAATAACATTTTAATGAATTAGTCGCATGTTTTGTTTCTTATAATACATATATTGATTACGGGGCCACTTTGTCATAGACATGGTCGGAAGAATTGAATTTGTGTTCAAATATTTATCAGGTAATAACTACATAAACCAACAAGCCAATTTACTCTTTGTGTCCAATCCTGGTTCCTCAACATGCATTTCCAGATCTACGTAAAGAGCACATACTTTTTTTTTTTAAAGAAGAAGCAGAACATAACTTCAATTAATAATGGTCGCGGGGTTTCCTTTTTCTCTTTAGTGGTGGGTACAAGTATCTAACCATTTACAGAAGCTGGCAGAACTTCAGGAAAATCAAATCGATCGAATTCTCCTGGCTTGTTTGGCATTGTAAATATCATTGATACCAAGTTCTTCGAACAGGTTCTGTATATTTGGGTAAGCCCCAACTTGCCAACAAGAAAAGAAAATATTTATCAATTAAAAGGAAATGCATAAGATTAGCCCCACTTTAAGAAAGGAAAAGACAAAGAGGTGACTTCATCAAAGTTTGTTATTGCAACATTCAAAAAACTGCATAAGGTAAAAGATACCCACTAGATCATCACTATGAAGTGAAAGTGCATTAGAACTTATTAAGACATTCATAACATCAAAAGAACAATCACTAGAAGACAATAATAAAGTTGTTGAGTCAAACATCAAAGACATCAGCAAACAAGAATTAGTTTCAAAAATTACATAATTTATCCGAGTAAAAAATGCAGTAGAACTTAGGAATGATGGTTAATAGAAAATAATGTTGTAGCATCACGAACTAAAATGATAATAAAAAAAAAATAATTAAGTAATATAAAGAAACTATATCAAATCACAAAATATATGCAGGCCTGTCTCATACCAGTCCCCATCATCACCTTTCCAGGCAGCTACCTAATAGGAAAAAGACCAAAGTTTAACGTTGAATGACAAAGAAATTGAAAAGATAAAACCCTGCATTACATATGGATATCAAGATGGAAACAAAAATTATCATGCAATTGTGTCCATCCTTGCTCCTAGCAACAGGAAAGTACTCATGCCACAATATCAACCAGAATGAAAAACTTCTTCCAGATTATCATCCATATGAAAATCGCCTATTGTTCAACGATGCTGAAAAATGGCCTATCTTCTAATCACTAACTAGCAAGCTTTTGTAAGTTTCTAGAAGTTAACAAAAGACTAAGAAATCAACAGAAAAGTATACATATATATCTTTAGTTTGGCGTCAACTAATTGGAAAGGGGTAAAGATAAAGCAAAACATAAACCTTTCCACCTAGACAATCTCTTGCTTCTAGTAACAAAGGTTGGTGACCTGCACCTGCCAGATATTTTGCAGTCAATAACCCAGCCAAACCTGCGATAATTTTCGAAATCAGAAGTTTCAATATAACATAAATAAGAAAAACTTTTTAAAAGAGAATGGGAAAGATAGAAAGTTTATTTTGTTTGTTTTACTAAATATAGCCAATTGTAGACAAAAATTAGGTGGCCTTATCAACATCTATAATTCAAAGTAAATAACCAAACACCAGCCAACCGCTTGACTCAAAAGATCAGTATTTATCCAACAATTCAGCAAAATCAAGGAGATGTAAAAGAGGAAAATCTGCAAGAGCACTGACAGAACTAGCTATAAAGGCTTTACATGCTCTTATGTAACATTCTTATACATCCTCGCAAAAGAAAACTTTAAACACATTCTAGTGCTTATATATAGCTTAAGAAATTCCCTATCATCCTCTTACTCCCAATTTAGGTTTCACTTCCCACTAATTTCATAATCTCAATTACCCACCCAGCACAACTTCCATATGTTGCAGTCAACTAGCTAGTAATATATAGTTTTGTTAATATGCAGGCTATACTCCAAATAAGACCAATCTTAATATATTCAGTTTGCATGGATTTTAAAGCTAGAAGGTTTGGAAATTTAAGCTCCATTAGCATATCACAATATTTATATTGAACATCAAATCAAGGTCCATTTATTGTCCTAAGCCTCAGAAAACTTCACTAGCATATCAAAATATTTATATTGAACATCAAATCAAGGTCCATTGATTGTCCTAAGCCTCAGAATATTTCACTAATGTCCATCTCCTAACGGAGAAAAGGAATTCATAAATCAAAGTGATAAGCTCATTAAACCTTCACCGATCAAAGTCCCAGTAAGTATTCCAAATAATGAAACAAACCTGACAACACAGATTATAAAGGAAAAGTATTAAAGAAAAAAATTAGAGATATTTGTGTTACAGATGTTTTGCAACTATACAGTCTAATTGAACTCATAAAATGCATATTGTTCTACAATAGTTTAGGTAATAAAAGTAAATAAGACAATAATATTTAATTTTTGACAAAAAAATTGTTAAAAGATAGCTCAGAAAGAGTTAGAGCTTTACATAAACAATCATAAATCTTGTTTTATACATCAATATACTAGTGTTTCCTATCAAACAAAAAAAAAAAATGAAAAAAACATAGCTCAGAAATTATTTTCATACATGAAGGATAATTCAAGACATTAATTGAACAAAATATTTGCTTGACTGATTATTATCAATACTCATCTGAAAGATTATGCTATCCTTAGGGACTGGATCATTTTGTCAATCAATCAAATTGAAATGCAAACTGTATCAAGGAAAATGAGAACAATCCAAAACAATTGGACGGAAAAACTGGAGAGAAACATAACAAGTATCAAACTAATTCAATCAGTGTCGCAAAAATAAAGATTCAAAATTACAAAGATCAGCATCACTTATTCAATTATAGGACCATGATCTAACTTTAAACTGAAGAGCTCAGAAATGTAAGCAACACTTGATCCCAAAGAATAAATACAAAGTGCTAGACAAAATGAAATAGAGATCACCTTTGTAAAACTTCCATGAGGTGATTATGTGCTTTCATCTTCTGAAGGAATCCTGATGCCACCATCAGTCTAAAAATGAAAGAGTAACGCAACCTTAATACAACCAAAAATAACAATTATAATAACAATAATAATAAAAACATACATTGTCCAGAGTTGAAAAACTTGTGCTAAAGAAACAAATGTCCATTAGTAAGACAATAATTTGCTATTGTGACTTAATTACCCACCAAGTAAGTTAAGAATCTGAGCACTTGAGTAAAGCTTCTCTCTCAAGATGCAATGTAAAGACTTTATTAGATACTTTTGTCAAGATGGACAAGTAATCATTTCAGTTAAGAAATTTGAAGAAAATAGAAGAATGGTGACCTCTAAGCTTGATGGTCCAAGCTTTTCCAATAAGTGCTACAAGGCCAACAATATCTTCAATGAAATCAGTTCTTGATTCGTGGGGTGGAAACTCCTTACCAACACAACAGAGAACCGCAGCGACAGATTGACCCCCACTTTCAATCCGTCTTGTTATTTTATCTTTTGTAAGCAAGGAATATGGATCAGTCAAAATGTGAGGTTCAATTGAAGTTGGTAAACAAATCAACAACAGATCCATTTTCAGCTTTCCATCGCATATGTTGTTGGAGCCACATTTATAAATACATTGAAGGTAGTGCTTTAATTTAAGTAGCAGGTAGAAAATAAAACCAAATTTCTAACTATTTGATTTTACATGAACATCTCAAACCCTAAACCCACTTCTTCAATATCAAGCCTCCATCTCTATGTACTACAGTCCCTCCCATGCAACAAAAACAAAACACAACCAAATTCATTGAAGCCCCATTCTCACAGCAAACAATTTCAAAGCCAAAAGGACCAAAACTCACTTCTTCAAAATCAACGGTTCAACCCTCCATCTCTATCCACTACCATGCAACAAAGAACCCCATTCTCAGGCCTGAAGATTGAAGATTGGTTGAAGATTTTGATGATTGAAATCGGAGTCAAAGAACCCCAAGATCGAAGAAGCTGGTTTCGTTGTTTGGTAATGGTTTTTCGATTTTTCCTTTTCTACTGTGCTGGGTTTTGTCGAATGAAATTGGGGAAGGCAGAAATGGGTTTTAATTTATTATTTTAATTAGTTATTTTATATTTTACTATAACAAACCGGTTTATACCGATTAGGCCGGTGGCTCGTCACACAAAAATCAATCCAATCGCGGTTTGAAGAGAGTCAATTACTGATTTTGGTTTTTTATGTGAATTGACCCGGTTCTTGGTCCAATCGATTCAACTGGCCAGGCCAGACCGAGTTTTAAAACAATGCTTCCGACTCTTATTTGGCTTTTTCCATTCAATTTCAAGTTGCATCTCAAATTCTATTAACTTTTTAGGAGGCCTTTTTTAATATTCTTTTTCAGAAAATTTTAATTTTGTATTTTTAAAATTTGAAATTCTAATAACTTAGTTCCACCAATGTTTATTGACTTATAATAATTCTAGATGTTCCTTAGGTTCTGATCAATTAATTAGATCATGGTCCAGGGTTTTGAATTATGAGTTTGTTAATGTTAACATTTGTGGTTTGCCTAATCTATTGGACTTGTAAGATGTTTAATAGACCTTGGAGATTAGTTAAGATGTACGCAGTTAGTCTAGACACTGGTTAAAAAAAAAAAAAAAAATTAGGAAGGAAATATCCTTAAAAAGAAAGGTATTTTTGGTTACTTCAAAATTAAGGCTTTCTTTATAAATAAAATAAAATAAAAGCTTAGTTGCTAAAACAATTGTAGGGGAGTCTTTTTGTGTGGCCCATAAAATCATGGAAAATATTAAAATAATACAGTTACTAAAGGATGCGCATCGAATTCGTGCACTGAATGACGTGGCACAATCCTAACCGTTGATTAATATTAATTCATAATTAATCGACGGTCAGTATTGTGTCATGTCATTCGGTGCACATCCTTCGGTAACTGCAGCATTACTCTAAAATCATATATCCCAGCTGCTGCATTAAGAATTTAATATAAAGAAATGAAACAAGAATTTGAAAACGAAATTTTGCTATGATGTTCTGACCTTACCCACCTTTGTTCATATAATTATATATAAATTTGCATGAGTAATGCTACAGTTACCGACGGGTGTGCACCGAATGATGTGGCAAAATCCTGACCGTTGATTCATTATAAGTTAATATTAATCAATGGTCAGGATTTTGTCACGTCATTCGGTGCACAATTTCGATGTACACTTTTCGATAACTCTATCATTTTTCAAATTTGCATGGCCTTGGATCCTATGACACTCCCACCATTTATGTAAGTTTTAATGACAATGATCCCTCTTTGTTTTTTATTCATTTTTGGTTGTTGGGTCTTTGTATTTTGTTCATTTTTAAATTGTTGGGTTGATCTCCATGGAGTGAAATAATATTCTCTTCTATCTTAATTTTTTTTTATTTATTTCTTTTATGATCGCGGTGTTCAAACCAGTTTACATGCACATCAACTAATTCTCTAATACTCTTGAGCTATCGATTAGATAAGAGCTTCAATGGCTACCTCTATTAGCAATCGAGAAATGACTCGAATTCATGACCTCTTGAGTAATACACCTAAGAGTCCCTATCTTAAATATTTGTTATTTTAAATTTAATTATCTATATGAAAATGATTTCACAACTAAACTATCAAAACCGACCAAAATAATGACTTCAATTTTTATGAGAATGGATTGGGTCACCAACAATATCTCCAAACCAATTGAAGACAACCAAAATAGATAATGAATCTGTGCATCCTTTGGCATTTTGAGAGGAGTTAGGTATCCTTTAGTACTATATGGGGGTGTTTGGATCATATAATGTTTTATTATAGGGTGCGTTTGATTCAAGGAATGTTATATTACTAGAAAGATAGATTATCAAGAAATCTTCAGAGAAATCCATTTAGTTGGTTGGAATAAATTGGTGGATATGTTATTATAATATGTTTGGTTGGGAGGATAAATAAGTGTGTATGTTATGTAGATTACTAAATTGTCCTCCTTTTCAAATAAATATAATATAATTTTTATTATTATTATTATTTTATTCGGTTATTTTTTAAAATAATTTCTTGTAACCCCCTATATTTGAAATCTTGCTAAAACACCCCAGCCATATAAAACTTTAATTTGTAGCAAAATCACCTTCATCCACCCCAAGCCACTGCCAACAGTCAACCACCACTGTCGGTAGTAGCCGTAATGGCGTACGACCGATCGAATCTGGCTGGTCGTGCACTGGTAAGGCCTAATCCGGCAAAAAACAACTAGATTTGGCCGTGAAATGGCCGCCATTTCAAGGCCAAAGATCTGGCCTTTTCACGGCTAGATCTATGGCATTTCACAGCCACATCTTTAGTCGTGAAACAGCTAGATCTAGTCGTTTCCGGCAAACAGCCTTACCGGTAAGATTCTATCGGTCTTGCCCTGATATGATGACTTTCGCCAGCGGCCAGTGGTGGTGGCTAGCGGCGGGGGGTGGTCTTGGGTGGCTGGAGGTATTTTGTTAAGTTTTAAACTTTTTGTGGCTGGGGTGTTTTAGCTATATTTTCAAATGTAGGGGGTCTAGGTTAATTGTTATTTGGTAAACATGTGAGGGCAAATGTGTCCTAAATGATAAAAGATTAAGGGCAAAATAAGGTCAAAATTAAGATTATCTCAGTAATCTTATATTAACACCCATTGGGAAGGTAATCTGGTTACCCCAATATTACCAACAGTAAACACTATTTGCCATAAAAGATTACATAATATTTTATTACTTGACAACCAAACGAGGGAATCTTGAAAACTAAACAAAGATTACATGATTAATCTTATATCACCGCGAACCAAACGCAACCATAGGGGTATATTAACGGCAAGAAAGATCACCTTAAAGATTATTGGGAATGTTTATAAAATGTGCTGTTTTCTTTAATATGATTACTTACTTATCAAAAAAAAATAAAAATTGGTAAATAATATGTTTGGTTAGGAAGATAAATGAGTAGGTATGTTATATAGATTACTAAATTGCCTTCCTTATAAATATTAATATAATAGTATTTTTTTATTATTATTTTTTGAATGATTTCTTTTAACCCCCTACACTTGAAATTTTGCTAAAACACCCTAGCCATATAAAACTTTAATTTGTAGCAAAATACCCCACCCACCCCAAGCCGCTAATGACAACTAGCCACCACCACCAGTCGCCGTCGACAATCGATGGAATGGCACACGACTGACCGTATATGGCCAGCTGTGCACCGGCAAAGCCGAAAATGGCCATGGATCACAAATTCATGGTCAGAAAATGGCCAGATCTATGGCCATTTCACGACCAAAGATCTGGCATTTTCACAATCAGATTTGTGGTTGTTTTGTGGCCACATCTTTGGCCGTGAAATAGCCATAGAAACGCTAGATCTGGCCATTTCTAGCCATGGATGCATTGTCGGAAAAGGCCTTATGGTGCATGACCGGCCAGATCTTACTGGTTATGCACCACTATGGCTACTGATGCTAACAGTCGGCGGTGGTGAGTCACAACCGGCGGTGGTTTTGAGTGGCTGAGGGTATTTTGTTAACTTTTAAACTTTTTTGTGGCTGAGGTATTTTAGCTAGTTTTTCAAATGTAGGGGGGGTTGAATAATTGTTATTTGGTGGATATTTGAGGGCAATTGTGTCCGAAATGGTTTTTAATTAAGGGCAAAATGAGTAGAAAAATCAGACTACCCCGATAATGTTTTAATAACACCCCCTAACAAGGTAATAAGATTACCCCCCGCATTACCAACAATAAACATTATTTACAATAAAAGATTACCGTAATATTTTATTACTTAGAAACCAAACATAGGAATATTACAAAATAAACGAAGATTACCTCCATTATCTTATTTACCCCCGATCCAAACGGCTTATATGAAAAGTAATTTTAAATACCATGAAAAATGTTTATATGCATTTACAATTTATCTTCAAATTAGATAAAGTAAATTATTGATGATAAAACAATAAAAGAAAAAATTATATATATCATTAAATTATTAGATAGTCTCATTGTGCTAATTAAACGATACTATCGGTATTTCTCAATCATCTTTTAATTAGTACAGTACATAAAGGTAGAAGAGTAGAGATGGATGAGGGACAATTACCACTAGACCTAGCAAACGAGCGGGTACGAGCCGGGTAGTTACGGGCAATGGGTAAAACTGGCATGGGTCCACAAGTAAAAAAATTTCGCAGGTAAGAAAATGCATGACCCGTACCTGCCCATGCGGATACAGTGAACCCGCGGGTCACTCGCACAAGCTCCGTTTGTTTCCCTACTTTCCCACTATCCTATCATAAAAACCCAAAAATACATTTGTTTCAATATTCTCAAAATCCAATCTTATTCTATTCAACTCAAAATATTTATACTATTTTAACCCCTTAGGTTTGTTAATTTAACTAAACACCCATAATAATAAAAGTTTATAAATTGATAAAAACACCCCACTCACCCATATTGGCCAAAATCTACCATAATAGCGTACTACCGGTTGGATCTCACTAGTAGTACGCTGATCTGACATTTTCCAACAAGATCTAACGTGGAACTGGTCGAAAAAAGCCAGATCTATGGCCACAGGCTTTGTCGTTGACGGCCATATTAGATTTTGAAGAGCAATTTTCATAGATGACATCTATATAATTCTTAAAAGTAACTATATATTATCGGGTGTTGGATACAACCAGGGGGATGCAGAATATTTAAGATATCACAGAATGCAAGAATTTGATAGGGGATGCACCATCTTGAAGAGAAGTATACCGCAAGTTCTAATTGAACAACATTTCTTAGTTGTATAATTAATGTTAAAAAATTTTGGAATTATGTAATGTTATGGTATACATCCATTTTTATCATTTAAATATTTATTATAGGGTTTATTTTAATGACCAGTACACCTTTAAGACTTTTTAGAATTAAAAATTGATCTACTAGTTAACTTTTGATGTAGTTTATGAGTTATGACTTCCGAGCATCAATACATATCATGTAAAGATGAAGGAGACAA